AAGAAGCACATGTCGGAAAAACAGCTTATCGCGATTCATTTTCAATCGATTGGAAAATCTCTTTGGCGTCGAGAAATCTAACCTGTGAGGATTGAATCACTTTCAGCGATGTTCTAAACTACAAAAGATATATGACTTCATTGTCGAAACTCGCCAGCGTCGGAGCCAGCACCCTCTAGTAGCGAGCGGCAGGAATTAAATTTAACACCTAATAGAATAGGAGAACATAATAATCCTATAATAGCATTTTGCCGAATCGCCGTATCTATCATAGTTTCCAAAAATATGGCTCTTTTGTCTAAATTAGAGACTTAATAATATCACTACGAGCGATTTTGTCAAAATTATTCAAGAGAGAATAGTATTGGGTTAGGGAAAAAGTCCCTTTACAAGTTAAAGGGTAAAAAGACCTTTCCCTATCAATATCTTCGTTAAAATTTAACTTCATACATAATTATCCTGAACAAAATTAATTTCAAATCTGCATTTATAACTAAATTTTTTAAAATTTCAGCAACCTATTTCCGTGTTTTTACTAATTATTAACTTATAGTATCAATGAAAAATAAATTTGCATTTCCAAGGGACAAAACGTCGGAACGTACTACCAAGTGATCTTAGCAATTTCTACATCAATACTTTGTGGCGTGCCGATACGTAATGCTCGCGATCACTTCCTCGATCGTATGTAATTACCGGCTGACACGAGAATTCATTTTTACAAGCGAGCCTCGTCGCGGCCGTTTGCTTTTCACTCGACCATACAGTAAAACCTCTTAAGTAACGCATGGTCCGACTGTTCGATCGCCCCTGCTCGTCGTCTATACCTCTAAATCGCCGTGGTCGATCTCCTTTTGTTATTTCAAGCGCGCAACGCGTGATGCGTGTACCATGCACGCGAGCGGCGCGTCTCACGTAGGCGAAGCATTTAACTGTCGCTTTTAACTGTCACGGCCGCTCGCAGCTTAAACTTTTGCTCGAGAATACGAATCCGGAGGGCTGCTGGCCGGCAGCTATGATCCTTTCACGTGCGAAGCATTCAAAAAGCACGTCGATTCTTTAGCGTTTAATTACTCCGTTTAATTGTGATTTGTATAAAGTCATTATAACGAGTTATATTTGTTTTATGCTGATAATAAGTGGCCTTATATATTTTATATTAAGTATAAGATAAGCATTGTGTTTTTTAAATATCTGCATTATGGATCCTTAAAACACAGATATACAGAATGTCCGATAATGAGTTTATTCGGTATAACCCTCTCGAGATCAAGTAGAGCGGACTAAACTGAGTCGAAAAGTCTTGTATCATTTTGCAATTTTTGCAATAGTTAATGAGATAATGTGATAATAATTTTCAAAGATCGCCGAATACGCGGATAAAATCGACGCAAATGGCAATTTTGAGGTATTTCTTCAGAATTTTTAAAAATATTTCTTAAAGAACTCTCCAAGATATCTTAAAGTTGTTTTATGCGTCAATTTGAAACATTCTGCTGATTGGGTAACTACAACAAAAAGTTGCGAAAACTGCAAAATGATAGAGGACTTTTGACAGTTTCGACTCAGTTTGGTCCGCTCTACTTGTCAACGAGAAATTATGCGGTTATTACTGGACATCTTGTATATAGGATATATAGTAGCACAGTCAATTATATTATTATAGAGACTTTATATATAGGGTGTCCCGATCTTTTTTGCCGATCACTTTTGTATAGATAGAGCGGATTAAACTAAGTCGAAAAGTCCTCTACCATTTTACAATTTTCGCAATAGTTAACAAGATATTAATTACTAAAAATTGCAAAATATTGGTCTTGAATAATTTTTTACTCAAATACTATCAACTTTACAAAAAACTTGCAAGAAACAAAAATTATTTATTTTCTTCTCATAAAGTTCTGAGAATTTTTTCAGAATTTTTTAATACCGTATTTTCCTATGTTGATAAAAATAAGAAAATGCAGTATACTATAATAAAAAGTTGATAAAAAATTCTCAAAACTTTATGAGAAGAAAATAAATAATTTTTGTCTCTTGCAAGTTTTTTGTAAAGTTGATAGTATTTGAGTAAAAAATTATTCAAGACCAATATTTTGCAATTTTTAGTAATTAATATCTTGTTAACTATTGCGAAAATTGCAAAATGGTAGAGAACTTTTCGACTCAGTTTAGTCCGCTCTATCTACACAAAAGTGATCGGCAAAAAAGGTCGGGACACCCTGTATATACCTATTCTTTTCTGTTTGTTTTATTACGATGCGCATGTGCGTCCGGAAAGAACGATTTTGCTGAAGTATTTAAAAATTCTTTTATACCATATATTAAAATAATCATTATGCATCAACCATGATAAGGAATGCTGCAAGAAATTTGACAATCTAACAACCAGTTTGAGCATTCTAAATAATATTACTTTGATAGTCCAACAAAATTATTTTCAGTTCTGTATCTAGATAAAATTTTAGATACTTCAGCAAAACTGTTTTTTCCAGAACGTAGACATTCCATGCATATCCATCGCAATAAACAAACAACAAGGATAAGTGTATATACTATATGCAGGCTTGGGTAAGTTAATGTTTTTTTTTAAACTAAATCAAGTTAAAGTTAATGGCTTAGAAAATTAATAAAATTAAGTTAAAAGTTGAAGAAATAAAGAATTAACTTAATAAAAGTTAAGTTAAGATTGAATTAACTTAAATTTAAAAAAAGTTAATTTTGAAAAAAATTATTTTTGAGATCAGAATTTCCTAATTTTTCGTAAAATGAGATTACTTATAACACTTACAGATATAGATTATTAGGTAAATTTAATTTTATAGTCACACATGTAAGTTACTTATATATAAAAAGAGTGATACCATATAAGTATAAGGCGTTTTAGCCAAAATCTTACAAGAGAGAAGGGTATATGTTTGCATTATTTTTCTTTCTTTAACCTGTATCTAACTTTCTTTAACTTCTGAAACGACTGCTCATGCATGTTTACGACTACATCGACTAGATATTTGTTACAAAAAATATACGTAAAAATTTAGAAAAATGGGGATATGCATACTGTTCTACAACAATTCTTTATCTAAGGCTTATTTCATAATTATGTTGCTGAAATATAACGTTTATGATACCTAAAATTAGTATGATTTGAATATAAGTTGGAATTGATAAAATCTAGCGAGTCAATAAAAACTGCCGTATGGTGTAGCTCTTATTATAGAGCTCTCATCATAAAATCATTGAACTTTTTCTAAATTAATTCTCCAATGTTTGATTTTAAAAGAAAAAAAATATTAGCATTACCCAAATTGTCCGACTGACGGCTAAAATCTCTTGAATGTTGTTCAGAATCACGACCTGGATAACATTGGTCATGATCAAGACTATTGGAAGTTGTATGTCTTATTTTCATTTTTACGTAAAAATAAATTTTTAGTGCAAAAGTGAAAATAAGAGGAACTATCTCCAATGACCTTGATTTTGACAAATGTTATCCAGGTAATGATCCTGAACAACATTCAACAGATTTTAGCCGTCGATCAGACACCTTGGGTAATGCTAATGCCAGCACATACTATGACTTTCAAGCCTCATAACTCGAAAAATATTTAATGAAAAAATATTTTATTATAGTTTTTTGAAAAGCTCTCGAGGTAAGCTACAAGAATATGTAATAAAAAATGGAGGGTTCCGTTTAAAAAATTTAATGTGACCTCGCCTGACCTTGACAACGCCACCCAAGGTCAAACCAATGATACCATCTTATGTCCCCCTCGAAACCATACAACTTTTGTCTGAAACATTTTTTTTGTAAAATGCAAGGAAACGGAAATATTTGGGGTGATCGATTAAAATGACTCACCCTGTATACAAAAATAGTGTAGGACACGCGCGCGCACGCACGCGTTTGTGGGTGTGTGCGTATGTTAGTGTATTGAATGTGTGTTCGAGGCTCTTATTAGTTTCACTATATTGCATATTTTTTTTAAAGCGAATGAAAAATTTTACAAAATTGTCCACACACATTCTTACTTCGAGAATTTCTAGTTATATGTTAGAGACAATGCTGCTTCCAATATGTATGTTCTAAGGAATCTAAGGTTAGATCGCAACTTGAAATTCAAAAACTTCGTCTTTATATATTTTCATTACATGTATAAAGACAAGGTTTTTGGATTTCAAGTTGAAATCAAGATTAAATTATCAAAAAAAGAAAAGAAAAAACGAATCTCATATAAATTCAACTTGTTAAATTTCGCCTTGAGACTGGATAATCAATATGCTAGGTATTGTATCCGATCGTTAATTTTAGTGAGACAAGTTAATTTCGTAAATTAAAATATATTTTTTCTTAAAAAAATACACGCGCGTTCCAAAATATCAAATTTCCAAAGTACAGTCGAACCTCTATAAAAGCAACTTGTCGGGACCGATCGACCTCCGTAAAAGTAAATAAATGCGCATGCGCTAGCATGCTCCTCGATTACTATACGGGAGGTTAAGACATGACTTTTACGGAGGTTAAAACAAAAACGGAAGTTAACTTTACGGAGGTTCGACTGTATATTTAATAATATGTAAAGTGCAGTAAATATAAAGCATAAATGACAAGTATCACATTTTTGCCAAGAATAAAAGCTAAAGTTCACTTCTTAATTGCTATAATTATCGATGTACAACGCAGATATAATTGTTACAAAATATCATTTATCTCACTCTGTTTTTCGTCTTTCTTAAACGACATTACAATCCAGCTCCAAATTAGAATCCTATTACGGCAAAGTTCATCTAAAATTAGAATCCGCAATTTATTTTTTCGAAGCTCACGAAAAAAAAATCTCTTTTAATCGCACGTAACTCGACAATTATTGATATCTACACTATTTCTCTTAATCGACAGACATTCCCCGGAGAATATATTATCGAAATTACAGTTACAACATCGGCTTTGCGTTTAAAGTTACTTCGGATAAAATCGCTAAAAAAAAGAAGCCCCTTACCTGTCTTGCGACGCGCGGAACTCAGGAAGAAGGAAGTGAAGCACTAACGTCTCCGGAGCTTGTTTCCCGGCACCTGACTCCTTCCGCACTCACTGTACCCACTGCGGCAATGTTCCCTTCCTCGCACCGCGAGTCTTCCCACCCTCGCGACGATTTTTTTCTTCCGATGCGCGAGTCGACGTCGATCCACCGCGATTATTTATCCGGCGCGAGTTGCGACAGTCCGCGCGACTTGTATCACGCGCGTGCACGATGCACGCACGCGGCCACGCATTCATCCGCACGCACGCACACGTTCTATCTCTCTTTTAAATTTAATTTTTATCTTTCTTATTATTTTTTATTTTATATTATTTTTCTTTCTTATATTCTATGTATATCTTTTGTGCGCTTTCTGTCTATTGTTATCTGCTTGTTCTTAGAAGGCCTGCCCCAGAATTACAGGATTACACATCTTATCTGTTTAATTTATCTGTTTCTTTCTCATCCTCTCTCTCTCTCTCTCTCTCTCTCTCTCTCTCTCTCTCGAGATTTTTCCGGAAGAAAGCACTGACACTAACTATTGTTTGTGTCGGTTCTCGAAAGAATCATAAATCGGTAAAATTTCGTGTTTTTTAAATCACTTGGACGAACAGTATCACGTGCTTATGACAGCACATGGAGCACGTCAATGTCCAATGCAACGACTGTAAACCTGTCGATAATAAACTAACTACAAATCACTTCGATTAATCTGGTAGCGATCTAGTTTATGTTAAACACCTGTATGCGTCCCTTCTATCTAAAATGTAAATCCAAAGAAACTTGTTACTCTCTTTCATCAACTTTCTTCGTCTCAATGTGTCGATCTAATCCTATGCGAGTTTCATGTGTATCTCTGGAACTCGATTGCCAAAGCTATACTTTTATCCCGTACCAAGATCGCCACGGATAATGCTATTTGATCTTACACGTGTCCCCGGTCAAACTTGGAGATAACACATTCGCCGACAGAGTTCCTCTTTCTCTTTCTCCTTCGTTCACTCCTTACGCCGCTCTCGCGGAGCGCGTAAATAAGTGAGACCACTCCTCTTACTCTCTTATCTCTTTCGTTCTTTCTTACTTCTTTCTTCCGATTTTTCTCGACGATGCAAAAGAACACGCACGATTCTAGCACCGCGTGTTACAAGGCGCACATCACAGCGAGAAAGGGGGGAGGGAGAGAGAGAGAGAGGGAGAGAGAGAGAGAGAGAGAAAGTGAGGGGGAGGGGGGGGTAGAGACCTCACTCGGTCCAGGGAGCACGCGCGCGGAACACTGAGCGCGACGCGTGAACGGCGTCTCGGTTTGCCTAGCCTAGCCTAGCCTAGCCTAGCCTAGCCTACCCTAGCCTGGCTTAACCCATGATAAAAAGACAAGGGTATGCTCATGCGCATGACCAATCAGATTTTTGTCCTTGCTTACGTCACAACGAGTGGCTTACGCCACTGTTCAGCAATTTCAGATTGTTTTGGAAAGGTAAAATATTTAATTTTACTTCCCTCAGTTTTTTTTGTTTTTTTCATATAATTGCCGCATCCTTTCACTATGCAGGTCATCGTGAAAATATTTTTAACATTAACTTCTACCGATGACAACGTGCACTACGCCATGGACGCCATGATAAATTACGACCGATAACCACCGATTGCACCCGAATCAGAACCGACCAATCAACGCGTACCCGAATATGACGTAAGCAAGGACATGCGCAAGCTGAACGAGTTTTAGACAATTGATGAGCATACCCTTGTATTTTTATCATGGCTTAACCTAGCCTACCCGCCACTAAACTCCGCTATCCTAGGTTAGACATGCTCGCGACAATCTCCCTCTCTCTTTCTCTCACTCGCGTCCGCCCGTCTTCCGTTACCCCGCTCCCCCCCGCAGCAGCATCGCGTTCTCTCTCGCTTGCGTCTCGCCGTCTCCGTCGTCATCGCCGCGAATCCGCTTGGGTCCTCTCGTTCCTACCACGTCTCGCGTGATGAATACGCTGCGCTGCGCGCGATTCTGATACGACAGAGGAGCGGGAGAGAATGGAGAGGCGAGGAGGAAGGAGAGAATCGTAAGGCCATAGCCACGGCCATCGAGTCGCATCTACTATACACATACGCATGCACGCACGCACGCACGCGACAGTACAACCTGTGTGGATGTGTGGCGATCGTTCGATTCCGCGCATCGAAAATCACATATATCGATCCTACGTTTCTCTTGCCATCTAATTACCCACTTAACGCCTTCATTATTCCAATGAAATGCGTACTCATTCACGACTACCTCGCTGTCAAGGCTGCGGCCAAATCTTCGATGTTCTTAGCTGCTGCTACAATGTTAGTAATAACACATAATTACACTCATAGTTCTGCATACCGGAAAGTATATCAAACTATAAATATATAGCTCCAAAAACGACTAACGTTTGATGCTAAATATATTTTTTAATATATAAAATTATGAATATAATTAAATTATTACTAACATTGTAGCATATATGTGTATGCAAAAAGATATCATTTTTCTGCTAAGAAAAATGATTACTCACTTGTCAGTTTATTTTTTTTTTCTTTAAAGTAACGGTTATCTTTAAGAAAGAATATTCTTTTGATTAATCTTAAAAAAATATACTTGTAATTAGTATAAATTTTAAAAAACTTATTAACATGTACCTACTTAAAACAAGAATTTATTTTCTTTTGAAAATACTTATAGTATTATCCAGGTATATTATATTGAAGAAGCAACTGTATAGGTACATAGCAATAGGTAATAAGCGAATCGAATTTGTTTTAATTTAATAATCTCGACTGAATTAAGTGTTAAACTTGATATTTGTGATGTGTGAACTTATGATGGACTTGAATTAAAATATATGAACTTTTGAAATACCTAAAACAAGTAATATATTTGAATACAGTATGTATTTTTCTTGTAACCAGTAATAACTATAAAAATAGAACTCCCAACTATAATTATTTTATCATGCAATTATAGTCATAAATAACAACCAGTTAACCTCCATACTGATATACGTTTGCGTATATTTCGATGCTGAAAATCATAAATATGTAAGGAGCAACGATCGTTCGCCAAAGAAAAAAAATTGCCCCGAAAATCGAATTGTTAGAGCAAATTACAATTATTTTATAGTATGCAAAAGTTCCGGAATACGAAATGTAATCATTCAGCCTCATTGCGATAATTTCATACATAATTAAGTCACAACAATTTTGCAATTAGTCACGTTTTTACGTGACACTGGTATTATTTTGGTCGAAGCTGACAGGCGCAGCTTCCGATGACGCGTTTCAATGTTCCAATCCGAAAAGCGTGCCAGAAACACACAAAGCACGTGGTGTGCCACGTGTATCCAAACCAAACGTAGGGAGTGCTTCGCGCGATTTTATATACAATATAAAATACGTTCTATATTCCGGCGACAGCTAGATAACGTGCGTAATAATACAACACACGTGTATAACGCACGCACGCGCTCGCATGATGTAGCTCACAAGCGTAATACAAGAGGACGTGCCTGATATATGTTTTCGCCATCTAAATCGTCGTCTTTTCTTTATGACGACAACTTTCGATTCACATTTGTGCACGAACTATTCGTTTCGATTCGAAAGTACCGTAAATCAGATTCGGAGACACGAGCCGTTCCCAGATCAAGAGAAATACCTGTACACGAGAAGTATACCCTATAGTTAGACATAGGGATATGCGATCTCCATTAATTGTATCGATTTTTTAATCAATTTAAAATCGGATTGATTGAAATCGATCTATTAAAAGATCGGACCTGAATGAATCGATCTATTGAAAATCGATTCAATTAAAATTTTTTTGTGACATCTCACGAGAAAT